TTCCATCAGTCAGAAAGTGGATAAATTTAACCACATATTGCTGGACATAGTCGATCGCCATTACACTTTGGACACTGCTAGGATCATTACAAAATCAGCACCATGACATTAAACGTAGCATTAAGGAAACTGATTGATATACAAAACTATGAATTGAAGTTAAAAATAAAATAAGGAATAACTACGAAAAAACACATCTTAAAGACTTTAGTATATATGAAATAAAACTTATATTATTCCATTGCATAAAACCCAGTTAAATGGTATTTCTATTTTATTCAGTTTTAAATCTTGATGTTATTTTATACAAGTAAGCAACATAATGCGTTAAGTGAGGAAACGCTTTAACCATTTACTGTCAAGGGCCTGTTGGAAAGAATCCGATTTGGAATGATTACAGCAATATTAAACCAACCGTCTTCAAACTGTATAACGATGTTATTCCTCGACTCTGGTTTGTACAATAATAAGGAATCGGAGAGACAGAATCAAGCATCCCTACAATATTGACTCGAGGCACGAAAGGGATGATTGAAATCCCAGGGCCCCGGGTTATGACTCGTTGAAGGGTCGCCCTTTACGACGGATATCTCACAAACCCAGTCCGACACTCATCCGTCTATAAAATACTCTCCGCTTAATCCCTACTTAATCTCTTAGATATTATCGACAAGACGTAAAGAAAGACTTGTTCTCCCATTCGAATAAATCGATTTTTAAATAATGTTGGAAGGTGTCTATTGACGAAAGGTAACGGTCCTAATCCTGATTGCGATCATCAATGGATAATAATAAACTGCAAGGATCGGGACTTGGGCAACATAAATAATGCCAACAAAATCAGTACGTTCGGGGTCCGAGCAACGTCCGAGTCTGTTGCGACAAATAGAACCTAAATGTGAACTTGACTAAATCTTAGGTTATGGTAACCGAAGAGGAGGTGGTAGATTGAAGAAAAACGAAAAGTGATCTTTTACAGGCGAGAGAGGAAATTGCGTGAACAAATACAAGTACTTAAGAATTAGTAGTTCACCATCATTTAATTTAGGGATGCATTTAGTACAATACGTTTTTTATGGGGCTTCTTAAGTATAAAGGAAGTAGAGATGATTCAGAACTATTTTTTCAACAAATTGTTTTACCTTCCAGCTAACAATCCAGATTATATGATTTATATTGAGACTTCAATCGCTCCACTTTATATTCATACAATGAACCTGCATTTACAGTACATCAGCAAGATCTTAAATTACCCCAAGTAGATTAACAAATTTCCCAGCCAATGAGATAATAACAAAACAAAAACGGTGGTAGTTGTCTGGATTCCCGGACAAGTCGGCCTGGAGGGTAACGAACGCGCGGACGAGGCGGCGAAAGCCGGTACGTCCCACCCTCCGGATCGGACCATCGCGATCAGGCCCCCTGATGCTAAACACGCAGTAAAAAATATGATAAAAGAAAGATGGCAGCATCAGTGGGCGGGGTCGTCGGAGAGGATCTTGCGAGTCAAGAGCACGACTGGTAGATGGCCCTCAGAGAACCTGAGCAGGAGACGAGGGATCGTCCTCACCCGGCTGAGGATTGGCCATACGCGGTTGACACATGGGCACCTACTTTTGGGCCAAAGCCCGCGCAGGTGCCCCTTATGCAAAGGTTGCTCGATGTGCCCCACATAATAGAGGCTTGTCATGCCTTTGCGCCGTACAGAGAGCGTGTATGCCGCTGGACTTAAGAAAGCTTCTCGAGCACTGCAGCGAGTTTCAGGGTCCCCTGTCCCGCTTTTTAGGGGAAATTGGGTTTTTTTAATATATATGTAATATGCCTTAGGTGTTGTGTGTCTAAGTGCATGTATTTATTAACGTGAATGGTGAGGAGTGAGGGTGAAATATAACGTCATCATCGCCCCTCGAACGATGAGAGCGTAAGAGTGTGTGTTCGGGGTCGATGGCGGAATATTTATAAAAGTACTCCATCGACCCCAATCTAGATTAGTTTGAGTATAGGTCGGTGGAGGAATATCAAGCACTCCACCGACCAAACGGAATGAGTGTATTGTATGAATGTAGTGTTTGAAAGTGTAAATAGATTATTGACTTAGTTTGGGGCTGAAATGACCTAGAGTCGGAAGCCCCAGTAAATTAAAAAAAAAAAAAATAACAAAACAAATATCATGGTTTAAATATCTGTCGGAAATAAGAAGGCAGTATAGTATTGAAATAAATAGAAGCACTCTAATGAAGATCAGTTGTACAAATTTGCTAAACAATCTAGAGGCGGAACTAAGGAATGGTATAGTGACTAGAGCTAGGGATAATGTTTACCATAGATTATATGCAAGTTTAGATCTAGACCAGTGGTTCCCAAACTTTTTTGACCCATAGACCTTGTTATAGTCAAAAATTTCCCACGGACCCCCAAGAGAAAAAGCCACATAAATGCATAATATAAAAATTACAAAATTAAAAGAAAAGTGTTGTTGAAGAAGTATTTGTGAAATTATAAATAAATATATAAATTATAATATTACTTGCTGTTATGAGTGTATAATTTCTAATCGGTTTCTTTCTTTTGTGATGAGGTTCATAACGGCACTGAATCAACGTTCTACCCAATAGAAAGACGGGAAAGCAATCAACAACTTCTTTACAATAATCCATAATACAGGATATAAAATTGGGATCTGTTTTTGTAACCAGAATTTTGCTATCCTTGTTCAAACATTGGTTTAAGTTCCTCATTTGTGGATATTTCAATAAGCTGCTCCTGTATTAGTATGAATTCATCTGTGTTTGGGATCTGAGTTTGTCCACGCGCAAAAGGGTTCAACACCCAGTCGGGAATATCCAAGTGAAGAATGTCTTCAAATCTTTGGTTCAGGTCTGTATGAAGAGCGTGTTGACAGTAAGCAAGCAAATCTTCATCCCTAATTTGCAACTTGGAAAGATTTGGAAACTGAGAGCGTTCTGCTCTTCCCAAGTTTTGTTTGTAAAGAAAAAGTTTTGCAACACACGCAGATATTACGCTTTTAGTTTTGATTAAATTTAATTGGTCACTTTGTAGTTTCAAATTAGTTTCGTTAAATTTGGCAAATAAATAAGACTTATAGGCTACGTCATTTTTTGAGTTAGTTAAATTGTGTCGCAAATCATTGTTTTTGGTTTCCAGGAATTCCAACCCTGAATCAAAGAGCACATAAAATCTATTTAAACATGCACTTTTAGATAACCAACGTACTTTTGTTTTATATTATATTGTTTTATATTAAACCTTACACGGACCCTTGACGTTGTTCAGAGACCCCCAATCAATATTAATTTTCCACGGACCCCCTGAATGATACCGGGGAAGACCCCTTAGGGTCCGTAGGGACCATTTTGGGAACCACTGATCTTGATGAAGATAGCCAATATACAGGGTGTCCCAGTTCCTTCTGACGAAACTAAGGGATTCGATTCTACTCTTCGTTTGGAGCAAAAAATGCTCAGGAGAAAATTTTCAGAAAGTTCTCTATTTTGAAGATATTCGTCAATTTAGGTTTTTTCAACTTTTCACTACCTTACCACATAAAAACGCTTACAACTTCCAAAATGTTGAGACTACAATAAATCCAACTACACCATTTGAAAGAACCCTAAATTTGCTGTAAGATACTTCTTTGCAATAATCTGAATGACATAAAATGTTTGCCAATTATGGAACATGTCAAAATTACAAAATTTAAAATTTTGGTCATGATTGCACGTTCTACTGAGGTTACAAAAAAATACCTACAACTTGTCAACTTTTACAAACACTTCTTCATCTAATATACTTTACGGTGATATATCCAGGGGACTGAAGGGAGGGTAGAAATAAATCAATTAGAACTCGCTTTGTAAAATAAAAATGACACATCTGTAATCTCACAAAAACCATACCAGAAAGCTTCATACAATAAAATGCAATGCTTCTTCTTGTAGCAAGCACCTAACAACAAAGGACGAACATTTCAGAGGAAATGCTCAAAGTGTTTTCCCTCTTCTCGAATGCATAACTGACTTTCTGAATTTCTACCCCCCTTCAAATTTACCTTAGCTCACGTTTTCGAACATTCAATTGTTATTTTTCAACTCTACTACAACGTTATTTAAAAACCTGGATATATCAATGTAAATCATATTAGATGAAGAAGTATCTTACAGCAAATTTAGCGTTCTTTCAAATGGTGTAATTGGATTTGTTGTAGTTTCAACATTTTGGAAGTTGTAAGCGTTTTTATGTGGTAAGGTAGTGAAAAGTTGAAAAATCCTAAATTGACGAATATCTTCAAAATAGAAAACTTTCCGGAAATTTTCTCCCGAGCATTTTTTGCTCCAAACGAAGAGTAGAACCGATTCCCTGAGTTTCGTCAGAAGGAACTGGGACACCCTGTATAAACAAAAATATTAATATTTATGGAAAAATCATTACTGTTTAGAGCGAGAGGAGAACTCTTGCAACTGAACTGCCAGCTTTGGAGGAGCGATTTGAATTTTACTTGCTCAATGTGCAATCTCAATGTTCCAGAGGACACTGTGCACTTTTTGTGTAAATGTCCAGTGCTAGGCGAGTTTAGGAAAATATATTTACGGAAAGCACAATTAGATACAACCGAGGTAGTAAATATCCTTAATCGCGGAATTTATTGGGTTCATAAAATAAAATTTCTCGCACGAGGATTGGAATATAGAAGATGTATGATTGCAAATTTTAATTATTAAAAAAGTGTAAAAAAAAATAATTAAATATATAAATTGATTTAGTACTTTAGCAGCAACTCGACAGACGGCCTATTCAATTGTCATTCATGCTTTGAAATATATATCGTGTAAAAAAAAATTATTTATTGTACAATAAAGCATATTATTAATTCATTCGACGTCCGAGTTGGGATACAGCTGACAAAGTCGTTCCCACGCCGAAAAGTGGCCGTTTTTTCCCTTCCAGAAGACGGAGATTTATTTTTTAACATTAGTTAAATTAAAAAAGACAGTCGTGTCGGAATCGTGCTCGGGTGTCGACGAGGGACGTGCAAGTCTACGATGTGGACAATGTATGCCTGTATGTACCTTAAATTTGCTTAAGCCCTGAGTTATTAGAATACCGTCCTGTTAATTTTGGTAAATAGTCTACATGTTCAAAATTGGTTGTATTTTCTTCAGGTTGTACGAGAGAGAGAGAGAGTGAGAGAGAGAGAGAGAGAGAGAGAGAGAAAAGACAGACAGACATATAGAAAAGATAAATGGCGGAGAAGTGTGTTGCTCAATCTTTTAAAAAGATTGACGGACAGACAGAAATTTATTGAAAAATTTCCATCGACAATACAAACGTCAGTTTTTAATTTACATGAATCTTACGTAAATAATAGAATATATAATAGAATAAGATAATAATAGAATAATAAGAATAATATTTTTTTTCATCTCAACTAAAAACCTTAATGTATTAATTGTAAAGTATTAATTGGTCAAGCGGACCACGAAATTAGTGAATTTAGTAAATAATAGAGTTACTTCGTGACTTAAACTATGCTTATTAATATCAATTACAATTTAAAAACAATTTTAGAACACACAATTTGGTAATTTTTTTAAATTCAATAAAAAATGTATATTATTTTATAATTTTTCACATAATAAATATTTTGACAGAGTTAAACGTAATTTAAAAATGTCTAAATTTTAGAAATAAATTTATAAATATAACAAATAAATAACATAGTGTAACATTTGTTAATTTGTATGTATAAACAACTACTTATTAGTTAACACAGCGTTAGAACGATTATAATTAACGTTCTCATATTCTTCTATTGAAAGAAATTATTAATGATTTGTTAATATTTGATGTATTTTTGTACCAAAGGATTTAGAGGGAAATTAAAGAATGTGTCAAGTAATTTATTATATGTATAATTGATCACACCAGTGGGATTTACCACAGCCGAAAGGAACTAAACAATTCGGGCATATAGCCACAATCAACAAAATCAGACACCCATTGTTAGAAAAAGGTACGTTTATATGATCACGGAATAATCTTCACAACTTCCTATAAAGTCTCAACGGACTATAAAGGAGAGGAAGAACACAGGAGAGCATCAGATACAATGATATAGTACACAGATGGCTCCAAAACAAACGAAGGAACCTTATCAGGCGTTTTCTGTACAAGCCCAAAACATGAGCAATCAAACTCATTAGGGAAGCACTCTTCGGTCTTTTAAGCAGAAATACATGCCATCAATGCAAGTACCCTAGAAAATCTTAATTACACTGACAAAAAATCCTCATAAGATCAGATAGTCAAAAAGCCATTAAAGCATTAGCATGTAAAAGAATCACATCAAAATTAGTCAGTGAATGCATCCAAAATCTCCAAAACCTGGGAAAACAACAACCTGATATCTTGGATGCCAGGGCACAGGGGAATTTTGGGTAACGAGAAAGCAGACAGACTGGCCAGAGGAGGATCTGCAAGACTATACATAGTCCCCGAACCTATTATTGGGATAACAAGAACAAATATAGAATCCTCCATCGCAGAATGGATCCAAACAAAACAAAAGGAGAAGTGAATAAACTCTAGCGGTGCTAGACATAGCAAACAACCCTCACCGAGACTGGCAAAAGCACTGCTGCAATTGGAGAGGGCCAAACTCAGAGGAGTGGTAGGACTACTAACCGGTCACTGGCATCTGAGAAAACATCTACACAACATGAGTATATACAACGATGATCCCATTTACAGATTATGTAATGAGGAGGAGGAAACAGCCACTCGTATCATCTGCGAATGCGAAGCAACAGCTCAATGGAGATTTAACCTAACGTTCGGAAAAAACTTAGGGAATCAAATTGCAGCAGCGACAGTCAATGACCTGATACTTCTAAGGAGAAAGATTGAGTTTATTGCACTGAATTAAGGAACAATAATCCTGAAGGCTGCAGTGTCTGGGGAGTGCAAACCCCGCTTCCTAGTATCCTTTTTCACCATACCATACCATACCACAGCTGGTATCGCAGAGTACTGGGATTTTTGTAATCTGTTTATTTTATTGGCAACTTATAATCATCCGTTAGGTTGTAGATATACTTGGACATAGAACCTTTCAATTCAGAAATGTGAACAAATAACTCGCGATGAAAGATAAAAATTCTGGGTACAGTTAAAATTCTCAATTGCTGAAACGCAGAACGGCAGTCCTCTCTAACCCCGAGCAAAGATAGATTTCAGGAATAGAGTATGCCCCCAAATAAAGATTCGATATGATGCTACGGCTTAAAAGCACCCATAATAACAACTAATTAGGACTTGGTGTGAACCTGTGTCCTTTAGAGATTTCTGTAGGTATACAATGGAGCTAAGTTTATCATAATTTTACTCAATTCACATTCTAATATAAATTTATATTAAGGCGTTCGTTTTTGTTCGTTTAATGCTAATTTATTCCAATTTAACCACTTCGTTACCTCTTACCTGTTATTTTGACTGTCATTGTCTTAATTTAAATTTTCTCCTTTGTTAACTGCTATTGTGTCATCTACAAAGAAAGACAAGAACTCTCTTATTTCAATTAAAGGCAAATCATTTATGAAATCTTGAACTTCTGTGAAAACTGCTAAGGTGGCCAATTCTAGCCTGAATAGTTGTAAACATTTATCTCTTATAATAAATGTGATTTTGTACTTTCGTTGTTTTTATTAGGTATTATGCATAATTTTCAAAATTAATAGTCCACTTTCAAAATAGAAATGTCACCAACAGGCTGTCAGTATAAAAAGCACGAAACAAATAATTAATTATATGTTGACGTTTTTCGAGGTGACAGTTGAAAACAAAGCTTTGTCGCGAATACAATTAACGAGAGAAAATCGTCCTGTTCGGTGTGCCTAGTGGGCGATTTTCGTGTGCCATTATTGCCCTAATGCGAAATGAGCAAGTACAGTTGAGTGTAAAGCACGCCCCCATGGGGTTGAAAGTCGATTGTCATGATCCTGCAAAACTCGAACAAGAAAAGTCCACTAAGATGGTCAGAACCAAATGCTAACAGCAAACGTAATAAAAGTATAATTACTAAAGTATAACTAAGGATTAAACGTTAGTGGAGAATTTTTAATTACATATAGTTGAGAGAGAACGAGAGGAGAGAGAACGCGAAATGTTCACCAGGAGAAAGGCAATTCCGAAGCAATTACATCCAGTCTGTTGTTTATTGTATGTAACTTGGTTAATGCAAACCGCGTTCCTTAAAAGCTAATTCAAATATACCTTAAGTAACAATTAGAAATTAACATAATTTTTAACAAACAAATTTAAATACTAATACAATTTCTAATCAAATTTATATACTAACTGTTAATGCGAGTTTCTTCTCATTGTTGGTGATGTCCTTCAGAATACTTTTAGCTGCGCGTCCGTATGTAGTTGAAATTTGTTCATAGAATCCCATATTCTTCGTTCTTCTCGTGATTTTGAAATCAAAATCTCACTGGCACTCTCAACACGACACGCAAGAATGGCACAATTACACAGAAGACAAACACTTTGAGCCCTGAAGATGATCTCAATAAAGATCGAAACGTTGGCANAAAAAAAAAATAAATAAATAAAAAAAAATAATAAAAAATAAAAAAATAAAAAAAAGAGGCATGTACTTACATGTATATTTTAACCGAGGTAACCTATACGACCACGTTGGTTTTTTTTTTATATTGTTATTTTTAATTAATTCCATACTGTTGATGTTTAGATACTGAGCTTCACCTAATTTTAAATAATCTTATTGAGTACTTTTTGTTTTACGAGGGTTCGCCACAGAAGAGGTCATATCAACCCTCAGGGGTGTTTTTGAAAAAAAGCCCATTCGTAAGTATGTCTGGTTCGAATGCAGGGCCGCTGGATTCGAACCCAGGACCTTTACCTTACAGTGATGACCTTTACCGTGTCAACGCCTAAACCGTTGCGGCCACCGACGCCCCCAAATAATGTTATTATAAATGCAGTTTCTTGTTCTCAAGAGATATTTCAACACTCATCGAGTTAAAGTAAGAAAAATAACTGTTTTGTAATTTTTTCTAATGATATAATATGTTCTAAGTACGATATTTTCCTAAAATAAATAGGCTCTGATTATGACGATATAATCGTCGAAAGCTCGGCAGAAACGTAAAGAATTGTCGTTCTGTTATGAACTCACCGAAGATCCTTTTTTCCAAGCTAAAAAAAAAATATTTAAAAAAAGAGGTTTTATGCAACAAAAATTTTAACAACCTTGATAATAACCTTGATCCTGTAATCGGTATTGCTTTAATGAAATTTTGCACTGATAGTGTGTTACAATGAGGCTATATCCGTTAGCTAGCTATTTTTATTCAGGAAATAATTTCAATGTTAATCAAACTCTGAATGAATAAAAAGAACAGGAATAGCCAATTACACTATAATGAAAAGGAAATTACACTTTTTACAGCGAACCTGCCGTTATTGGCTGCCCGGGGCTATAGATAACTGAAACATTTTGGTTCAAAACACATGCAAATTGACAAATACTACCGTTCATCCTTAAATACATCGTTAATATGTATATTACTATGTGCTCATGTTGGTTGATGAGTAGATATTGTACCATTACCATTTACTCAAATTATGGAAAGGGTATTTAACACATCACAGTCAACCCTCCTCCATGACATGAAATTTAACATATAATTGAACAATAAAATAACTACATGCAATGAAAAAACACAGTGTTATCGTTTAAAGATCAATCATTCATATCGTTTGTCATGCCTACTCACACTTTATATTGAACGGAGACAGCCTTTCTTTTTGTGGTATCGCATTGTCCGACCTTTTTCTGTAACCGAAAGAGTGAATAATTTTTTTATAATAAAATCTTGAATTTAAAAAAAAACATATTCAAAATTAAGAATTTCTAATGATGTACACAAATATTTTCACCAGCTCACTCAGAGCTGGGAGTATTACCGACCGAACTCAAATTTAAGTACAAAGCCATTTTTTATATGACTAGCTCTTTATGTACTCACATAAAAGAA